TAGTGACAGTCACAAACAGCAGGATTGGGAGGATGGTACGAGAGAGGTGAAGGTTCAGAACTGTTTATAGTGTCAAAATAAGTTACAGTTGACTCAAAGACACCTCTCAAAAGAAAAAGAAAAGAAAAACAAAAACAGAAAACCAAACACCACAAAATTAGCAGTTTAAAAGAGAGGAATCTTAGTGGTATAATCCAAAGCATGGTACTCTTCTAACCAAAAGGTCATGCACCACTACAACCAGAGTTCACTACTGGTTCCAAGAGAGAAAGATGCAATAAAAGATGGTGGTTCAAATTCACCAGCTTCTCACCTGAAGGAAGACAAAAAACCTTCTCTAATTAATATTTGCAAACTTAGAAACCAAATAAAATATCCCTATGAGTTAGAGTAAACTCAAAGGAAAGGTACTTGTGTTGTTTTTTGTTTTGTTTTGTTTTTTTAATTTAAGGACAATGATATAGTGTTTATTTATACTTAAATAACTAAAATTACATGTTACTAATTAACATAAAAGTATATATTTCTGTTGTTTATCATCAATTGGGAACCAATGCATAGCTGAATCTCCAGTGGGTTTTCTTAGGCAGTTCCCATTTTTCTTAGTGGATTTAAGCCAGGAACCTTTGGAACTGCAGTTCAGATTCTTACCACTGGGCCATTCAAGCTCACAAAGTGTTGAATTATGAATACAAATGATGTTATTTTTAAAAATTACTATGTTTTTTAATTTATTATGTCAATACCCTTACTAGACTTCCTAGAGAAATGATAAATTTTTTCCAATTTATTTGTTTTTCAAAAGGATAAATTTAAATTAAAATGAATTTTTAAATTTAAGCAATAAAATTGAGTATCTTGAAATCAATTTTGTCACATACAATTAACTGAATTTTGACAAGAAGATAAAACTCATTAAGTAGGGAAAAGAAAGTCTCTTTAGCACATGGTTTTGACAAAACTGGATATCTCACTGAAGAAAACTGAAACAAGATTCATATCTCACATCATCTACTAAAACTAACTCAAGGAGGATCAATGATCTAAGGGCAAAACAAACCAACAAACAAACAAAACCCAACACTATAAAAAATCATAAGAGAAAAGAACAGGAACAAAATTGGCTGATACCAAATCCTTTCAAGAAGTAGCATATGATCTAGAAGCCATGGTAATAAAATAAGTTAATTTTTCTCTGAAGAAATTGGTAAAAAAACCACCCAAGACCCCAGGAATTGATGGAATACAATTTGACACACTTCAACAAACATATGAGAACCTGGATGTTCTCACCTGATTGTGACAACAGATCTGAAAGACAATCACCTGACCAGCTGAGGGGGAGAGAGCCATATTTATTCCAGTCTTAAAAAGGTGATCCAACAGAATGTGGAAATTATTGAAGCATTAATATCACATGAAACAAAATCTTTGATGATTATCCAAAATCTACTAGAACCATACAACGATGAAGAATGTCCAGAAATGAAGCTGTGTTTAGAAAAGACCGTGCCACCACTGTTAATGTCAGATGGCTCTTGGTTGAAAGTAGAGAGTACCAAAAGGAACTCTACTTGTGTTTTATCGACTACGGAAAGACATATGACTGTGTGGATCATAATAAAGTGTGGCTAATATTGAGAAGAACGGAAATCCCAGAACACATGATTATACTCATACAAATTTTACCTAGACAAAGTTTTGTTTGAATAGTGTATCAGGGATACATCCTTTCTCCATATTGTTGTTATGTGCCATCAAGTTGTTTGGAATTCATAGAGACCCTATGTATAAGAGCCCTAAACTCTGCTCTATCCTGTACCAACATCACTGTCTCAGACACACTCACTCCAATTACTCCAATCACTGAATCAATCCATCTCATTGTCTTCCTGCCTTGTGCCCCAAATATGAGGTCCCTCTCCAATGACTGGTCCCTGCTTGCAACATGCCCAAAGTATATCAAATGAGGCTTCAGAATCCTTGCCTCCAAAAAACAGCCCAGTTTCACCCTCTCCAGAACAAACCTGTTTACTCTCCTAGCAGTCCATGATATATTCAACACTCTTCTCCAACATCACAGCTCAAAGGCATCAATTCTTTCTATCATTTCTAGTTACTGACCATCTTTCTGATGCATAGCACACAACTGTGAAGACTATGGCCCAGATCAGGCACACCTTAGTCTCCATACTAACGCCATTTCTCTGGAGAGGTCCCTGATAGCTAATTTCTCCAGTGAAATTTGTCTCTTGATTTTCTGGCTGCTGGTACCAAGAGTGTTGATTGTGGAACCAAGCAAATTAAAATTGTTGACAAGCTTAATCTCTTCACCATCCATAATAATGCTGCCAATTGGCCCAGTGGTGAGAATCTTTGTTTTCTTGATGTTGTACTTCAGTCCATATTGAAGGATTCAGTCCTTGTCCTTCTGCCACAAGTTCTTCATGTCCCCCTCAGTTTCAGCAAGCAGGGTTGTGTCATCTGTATTACACAGGTTGATGATGAATCTTCCTACAATCCTAATGCCACATTCCTCTTACATTCAGCCCAGCATCTTGGATGATCTGTTCTGCTGTTCTGCATACAGATTGAAAAGGTATGGAGACAGAATACATACCTTGCAAACACCTTTCCTGATTTTGAACCATGCAGTTGCAGTGTCTCCTTGCTCTGTTCAAACAACTGCTTCTTGGTTCAAGTATAGGTTTCGCATAAGCACAATCAAATGTTCTGGGATTCCCATTCTTATATCTTTTCACTATTTATGCTGAACAGATAATTTGGAAGGAGAGACTTTATCAAGAAGAACGTAGTACTTGGAGTAGAGAAAGACTCGTAAACCACTTGCATTATATTGATGATACAACCAACCTTGCCAAAAGTGAGGATCGTTTGCAGCTTTTGCCGTAGGAGTTCAAGGACAAAATGGATTGCATCTCAACATCAACAAGACACGAATCCTCACCACTGGACCAATAAGAAACATCTTATTAGATGGAGAAAAGATTCAGGTTATTAACGATTTCATCTGCTTGAATTCACAATCAACACCTTTTAGAACAGCTGCAAAGAATTAAAAATCAAACAAACACAAGGTATAGTGGGAAAATCTGCTGTCGAGGACATCTCCAGAGTGCTTCTTGAAGGAAGGAATTTTGAAACTCTCTATCCCACTTTGAGCAAGTTGTCAAGATGGGTCAGTCCTTCATCAAGAAGTCATGCTTGGAAGTGTAGAGGGTCAACATAAGAAAGGAACTGGATGAGATGGATTGGCATATTGACTATGGTAATGGGGTCAGGTGTGTCAGAGACAGTGAGGCTGACTCAAGACAGGGCAACATTCAGAGTGATCATCCTTAAGGTCACTATGAATTATAGATGACTCAACAGCACCTAACAACAACAATCTATGGCATAGCCCAAATACACAACCATTGTAAAATGGATGAATGAAAGCTGTCTAAAAATCAAACCCTTAAGTGCTTTTAAGAAACTATTCTAAAAGGATAAAACCAGTCTATAAAAAAATATGACCTCCTTATCAGATATGGGAATGAGAAGGGGTCATACATAAAATTTATAGAAAACTCCAGCACTTTGACAAGAAAAAGACAAGCAACCGAATTACAAAATGGTAAGAAGATATGTAAAAACTCTTTACCAAAGAAGACATTGAGATGAACAAGGAACAAATGAACATACATAGCATAGGGAGCAGCATGGTATTTCCTTAAAATTTAAAAATAGAAGTACTATTTGATCCAGCTATTAGAAACAGGAGTGGCAACCACTTCCAAAATGGTTTGCCTTACAAAAGGCTAGAGAAAGGTTTACATGCAGAGATAATCAATCTAATATGGTTACCAGGGAGGGAAAGTGTTGGAAAAAATAGAAAATTAATTGATAAAAAAGGAATGTTAATTAGGATGGTTAAAAGAGAAGACAATAGGGAATGAATGGATGATCAGACATTGTGTGAACTGTGATTGTTACTAGGGAACAGAATATACATTAATGATTGGCGGAAATGCTTTGTAAATGTCCACTTAAATGACAATTTCAAATAAAAACTAGGAATCAAGCACATGAATTTCATGACCAAAGTATTTTCATTCCTCTATGTGCATAGTAAGTTTTATCCCTTTTCTAAGAACTATTTACAGTTTCTATTTAAACACTAATTTGTTGTTAGGTGCCGTTGAGTCATCAGTTAGGATTATAAACTCCTTTTTAAAAGAAAAGAATGTATACCTCACCTGTTGTGACTATTTACTGATAAATTATATTGAAATTTGAGGGCATGTTTAGAGACCTTCAATTATTAACACTATGACTTTATCTCTAATCTAAATTATTTTGCATTCTACTGCTTACATACTGCAAATCCAATTTTAAGTGCATGCACATTTTTAACTGATTATACACATCTGAGTAAAGGCTCATTAATCCATATACAATTTGTATATGCATTTCAATATGGAATTTCTTTAATATGAATCAAATATTTGGACTATTTCCTGAAGTTCATAAAAACTAATATAATATCTTGCCCTCGTGTTTTAAAACAGCAAGCATGTTTCCATTAAAAATAGACCATTCTGTACGAATTTGTGGTTTGTCTTTTCTGTCTTTTTTTTTTTCTTAAAGCCTCATTAGGAACTTTTTTTTTTCTTCTCTACTTGATATAAGTGAAACTGTTCAAAGGAAACATCTAAAGCCTAAGAAGAATTTTCTAGTCTCCTCTGGGTGCCTGAAATCTGCCAGTACTAGTGAGGATGATGAAAGGAGACTGCCAAAACTTTAGAGCAAAGATAAATGAAGGACTTTTCCTTGGCTATTTCCTGTGAAGTTGAAGGAAAAGTTGGCCTTGTTCTTGGAGAGTTATATAACTTATGCTTAACCAGTATTACTTTGGACTGTTTAGTTGTTTGTGATATCTTTTTTGGGTAGTCTGTACTTAAACCAAGGATAGATAATACCACAAAGTAAACAATTACCAAAATAATTTCTGCTTCCAAGGGTTCCGTTGCTTTTGATATTGTCACTGGGGATGCAGCTGCAATCTGTGCCTTCCTGTGGGCCTTCTGTGTCTGAAGATTGGTAAAGTAGTTAACAGCTGCAAACTCGATCAGAGCAGAGAAGACAAAAGCAAAGCAAACCGCTATGAACCAATCCATGGCTGTGGCATAGGACACCTTCGGTAAGGAGTGCCGGGCACTAATGCTTAAAGTGGTCATGGTCAAAACGGTAGTAATTCCTAAAATAAAGATGAATAGGAAATGTCAACTATATGAAATCTTATTAATAAGATTAAATGAAAACACACTTAATGAAAGGAATAATCACTATAAAAATAATTTTGTTATCCTTTTATTATACTATCATCGCTCATGATTATCATCATAGATAATAACATTTTTGTTCCCTTCGATTGCTAGTCCAGTGACTTGTTGGCAGTTGCTCTCAAAATAATTTTTCGATTGAATTTGTTTCTTGTAGTTTTAAACTGTGAATAGATTGTATTGCTTATTGATGAAGATAAGAGTTTTGTCCAATAAGAAGAATAAGAAGCAATAAAAATATTCATATTTTTAATAAATTTTGGTAGTTAATTATATCATACATCACATTTAAGAAGTCTATCTGCTTCATAAAATTGTGTCACATTTTTTGCTTGCTTTGTTTTTACATTTCTTGCCAGGTTTTAAATCAAATATACCTTGGGCATGTTATTAGAAGCGGCCAGTCCTTGGAAAAAGAGAGCATGCTGGGAAAGGTAGAGGATCAGAAAAATATGGTAAGATCAACAAGATGGATTGACACAATGTCAACACAAGAGGCTGGAGACTGTATCAGATGTCATGTGCAGGATAGCACAAGGCTCAGATCTGTTTTTCAGAGGATTGTTATGCGTTATAGTGTACTTGACAGCACTTAACAACAGCAATGATGAAATAATAATTTTGTTACTTATCAGTCAAAAGTTTTCTAAATTACAATTTGAGGAGTTTATTTAATTTAGAATTGCAAACTGTGCAGTGATGATCATTAATGCGTTTTCACAGTTACTCTTTTATGTTTGTTTTTTAAAAGAACCATTCTAACAGCTTAAATAAAAACCAATATTCACTCAATATTTAAGTTTAATTCAGGAATTTTCTTTGAACTTCTAAATTTGTGAGCATGAAAGCTAAGTAAAAAACTAGTTTTCATTTTTTAGGTAAGGCTGTCATCAATGAGCTCTTGAGCTCTTGTGTCTCAAAGATGATGAGGATGTCACAGGGCAAGTTTCATGTTGGCTGTTCATAGGGTTGATATGAGTCTTACACGACTTGATGGCACCTAACAACAACAACTGGTAAGAAGATGTGCAGTTAAAATGCATGAGCTACTCCTCAAGAGACAGATGAGTACTCTTCTCCCCTGTGAATTGGCTGCCTCTGAAAACCTGCTGAATGGTCAACTAGGAGTCAGTTCTGATTTGAGGGCACACTACCATCTCAACAACAACCATTGTTTTAAAGGTTTCCTGGTACTATTTTGTAATAGCTCTTCTTTCATCTTTTTCAACCAAACTAGGAGTGATCTTTAACGTAGTAAGTGGAGTGAAATATTTCCAGTGAGCCATACAAGATGAGTGATACGTCATTAGGCAATTAAGTTGGCAGTTTTATAGAGCCCAGCATAATAAAAGGCAATATAATTAAATGAAATCTCACTCATCTTTTTGTTTCTTGGATATATAATCTCTTTAACCTGTGTGCTTTTCCTTTCTTATGAATAGACATATACAGATTTTAAAAGTCTTTTAAATAAAATACATGGAAGTTGTACAGAATTAGCCAGAATTATTGTTGCTTCAACATATAACTTGCGATAAAATGAAGGTCATTTTACATTATACATGCATCTGAATGAGCTAAGTCTGTCTCTTTTGTGTATTCAAATACCACACTAGCTTAACTATTCTCCTAAAATACCCAAGCAGTGAGAGTTGGTGGATGAATGGAACAAGAGTAGAAACTGCAAGTCATACCAAAGACAGTCCTTGCTGGGACAGACTCCTTATTAATCCAGAAAGAAACTTGAGAAAGAATGACTGTCATAATGCAAGGAGTATATATTTGTATCATGAAGTATCCCATCTTCCTTTGCAAGTGGAAATAAACTGTCATTATTACATATTCACCTGTTAGAAGACATGTGTATCAGAATTATTGCTGTTGACAGTGTGCAAAAGAATGCAGCTGAAAATAAATCATGCAGGTTTTTAAATTAGCGTGAGCTGGGAGAAAACAAACAAAGGCATACTTCAATGTATGACAAAACTACTTAATCAACAAATGATAGAGCAAAGAGGCACAGTTCATTATTTCCAATGACATTCTTTCTGTCATATACAAATAGAATTCACTTCAAGATTCCACAAACTTTTCTGAGTACCTACTTCCAAAATCAATTTTAAGCAAAGTTCTCTGTCACATCAAAACAAGCTTAGCTAATATAGTCAATGCAAAAGGAATAAGAATAGATAACTTAATATACTGTGGTGTTATTTTCTAGGAATATAGCTGTACATTGGGTAAAGTCATACCTGTGTTCGATTTAATTGTTTCACTAGATACTGTTTGCCCAATCAGATCATACTGAAGGAGACTTGAAGATTCTTCTGGCACTTCCACTGAGTAAAGTGGTCCCTTTTTCCATGTATATATGATTTCACTTTTCGGATAAGCATCTGAATTTTTGAAACAAATTGAACATTGCTGTGAATATTTTTCTCTCAAAGCAAGCCTTTGAAAGAACACAAAGGCTTTCTATAGAAAACAAATATGGGCAAGACATTTGCCTAAATGTTTTCCTTTAAACTAGGTGACAAGAGTGTGTTTATAAAATATTTACAAAATTAATTAATTCAATATGTTTATGAAATCACACTCCCTATGCCATATTAATACTTCTGCCCCATAGTCTACCTTCCTACTACAGTAATAACTCTGTCTTTTGAAATGTTGTTTGACTCCCAGAACGTGTGTGTGTGTGTGTGTGTGTGTGTGTGTGTGACTTACAGCTGCCAAACTTTAGTGGACAAGCATGCCCGTCCATTGGAAAGTTCACCAGCCTCATGGGACAGTCAGCATTAATGGTCAGCCTGGGCACATTAAAACAAAAAAGTCTGAGTTAATGTAATAACAATTCCCTGGAGCAGAGGAAGTGGAATTGGCAGAGCCTCACCTCATGGTATAAAGAATCGTCCCATTCTGCATTATTCTGAAGAGTCTATTAGGGGTCGTCATGTTATGAGCAATTGACTTTTTACCATTCCTGAAAAATGTATCCGGTGTCCAGATTTTACTGACCATCAAGTTATTCAAGCTCAAAATCTCACTTGGTCCCCCAAACTTCAACCTCTCATCGGTCCATGTTTGGCGAAAGAAAACATCCATTGTATACTCCTGTGAAAGGGGGGGAAAGTTTTCCTGTAGCCTGGAGAGAGGATCTGCTAGGAATAAGTCATTCATTAACTCATCTATCTAGCCTTGAATCTTAAGAAATGAAGTATTCTATGTGACAATAGCTTTGAAAGAAATCTATTCTTTCAGTTATTTAATATTTCCCCAGGCTTACAAATTCAGTAGTATTCTGCACTATAATTGAGTACTTCAAATGAGTAGATTATCCTACTCTGCCTGGATTGTCTTCAATATTCTCACTTTATCTATTCAGTCATTTTTTAATTCAGCTATTGATTTAAATTCCTTTTCTTAATTTAAAAGAAATAGACATTTAAGAGTGTATAATCTAACCCCTCACCGGCCTTCGTGCCCATCAGTCTACCAATTTTCCTTAGCATTTTGCTTCCCTTCCTAAGATTCCTTGCATCACTCCATCATTCAATAAAGTTACAAAGTCAAACTTTACTTAATAAACACACTATAATGATAATGGCACATTGAGATTCTTTTACATTGTTCTCAGAGCATATAAAGGCAAACACTATGTTAATTACTCTAAATAGAGCATAATTTAAACGTGAGTTTTAAGTTGTAGCTTTAATAAAATAACATTAGGAATATTAAGATTTAAGATAGTGGTAATTTTTAAAGTTAATTATAATTAGCAACTTACATTAAAATATGACAAATAATTACTTTGCCTACTTTATGTTTCTTTATGAAATCTTTTTCTCCAACAAATGTTTTTCATTTTAGTAACCTTTTTTGCCATCTAATAATCCAGACAATAACACATCTCTATTGTACAAATATGTTTTAAAGGGAGATATATGCAAAAAGTAAAAGTTTATGAGTCTTTCTGACCAATAATAGAGTAGAAAATGCTTGGTTACTATATGTGAATCACCACACAGAGAAAACTATGATGTCAAAAAACATCTAGTACTATGGATTGCATTGATTCTCTTTTTAAATCTTGAGACTTTTTTCCTTCTTGAATAAAGCTTTTTGTCTTTTTTGTTAATCCTCCATTCTTTGTTTTACTCCTTTCCTCTACCTTTCCTTTATACTGTTATCATTCTTTTTTTTTCTCTTGTATTTCTTTCTGGTTTTAATTTTTTTTTTCTTGGCTTGTCAAATTAAAAAGCAAAAGGCTTCAGTAACTCTATCTAGGACTACATTTTCCTAATAAAATATAACTCTTTAGAGAGTTCTTCAGTTTATTTAGTGTTAATGCTTATATTTTAGTGTTGGGAGGAAAAAAATGCTACCTGGAATCTGTGACAGAATACTGTGATACACTTTGTTCTAGAAGACCAGCTCAGGTTTGTATTTACCACTTACTATAAATACCATCTTAGGAATCCTGCAGCCATCTGTACCTGGAACAGAGCTCCAAGAACACCTACTGATCCATCCGCAACTTGAAAGGTGGAATGCATCAGCCTTTCCAAAAGCCTTTTGCCCTTTTAATGAAATATGCTGACACAGATATTCATTTCGTCTAGAAGACAGTTGTGCTTTAAATTTTATAAACATTCTCAACATGCTTTTATAACCTAGAATCTGCAGATTTTTTTCAACGTCAATAAATTTGTTAGGATTTCACCAATAAGAAGGATTTTTGTTGTTGGTACAGAAGAATTTAGTGGATGATATGTGGTTGCCAAAGAGGGCATAATCTTAAAGAGTACCCAAGATTAAAGCATCCAAACAAGATAGGTCCTTAGTGAAATGTGCAGCAATTAAGTCAGTAATCTGCTCTAATAGTACTATCGTCCCAACATGAGCATATGCACCACATCTTGAATCTGAGCCAAGCTTAATCACATTGTACATTATCACTAGTTCTGGGACCCATTTCTCTTTTCTTAAGTGCAAAAACCATCATAACTGAGAGCTAACTCACCATCTCCACATCTGAAACGGGCCCAAAACTGGTCACATATATATCTGTTTTGACTTCGGTCACAGCACCTGAAATTGCCAAAGGATGCAATTATCACCAACAGTGTAATGGGGACATTAACTTAAAAATCCACTGCAAACACCACCTCTCAGGTTAGAACTATGTGCCTCTCTTCATGATGTAATCCCAAGAGACTTTCAGCTCTGAAGACTCAGATCAATCATTTGACTAATTTTTAATGTATTCTGGCCCAAATGAGGAGACATTAGAGACTAGAAGAGAACTAGCTTGATGTTATAATAAAAATGACAATATGACTAACATAAAATGACGGAATAAATAAATCAGATACTAGGGCTTTACAAGGAGAAATCTCATTAAACATCCTCAAAATTCTAGGTGGCAAGCACTGTCCATACATCTTCACTACAGTTGGGAAACAGGCTTGCAAAGTTCAAGTAACTTAAATGAATTCATCACTTGAGGTAGAGGAAGAACTTAGACGGAAATACTCATGAGTTCACTCCAACACCTCTGCACCATTCTGCTAAACCGATTCCTGTCTGACTCCTCTGAGTCTTGGAAGAGTAATAATCAAGGCTGAGATTAATTCAGAGGGTTTTCTCGGCAAAAAGATCTCCTACCTCCAAATCCTGGCCGCAGTCGATTATCATAGCCTTCCAGCAGATTGTCCAGGATACGGCTGATGTTCTCTGAGAAAAGATTCCCTTCATCTTCAAGATTCCCCAGGGCATTATCTAGCCTGTGAGTAGAGGTCAATGTTTCTCACACTGGGCTTACAAAAGATACTTAACTTAATATGACCTATACTGTTTTCCCTCATTGCATAGACAGTCCACCAGCCCTGGATTCTTTCTTGATTTGATCCAGCTAAAAGAAAATGGAAATAAAAATAAAATCTTACTCACCACAAAATAAAGTAGAACCAAGGCAGAGAGGACACCATCCTTCAGTGAACAAAATGCCCAGGTCACTCTTGTCTTGGAATCTTTCCTCCTATGACCAGCTCCCTTTGCCAATCAACTAGACTGATCTTCCAAACTCCTCATATTCATTGTCTTTTGGTATTTGTCAGTAATTTAGTTGATGAGGAGTTGATGTTGCAAAACTTTGAGGTTATCCTGTTGCACTCCTCGTCCTTGCCTCTGTGTTTCCCCATTAAACACAGTGGCTGCTGAGCTTGGGTGACGTCCTGAGTAACACTCAATCTCCTCTGTTGGAAAATGAGAGTCTGAAGGGACAGTGCATGGTCGGAGAGCAGTGACAATAATCGAATAAGGCATTAGGGGAGATTAGAAGGAAGAAATCCACTGCTAGTTTTGGCATGGAATAAGCAGGGCCCTATGAGGAAATCTGGAAAGCAGTGGCATCTTGCTGATTGAGATTATGTTCCAATGGGCTCAGCGTTTATTATTTCTATGGTTCACAGAAGGATTCCTACACAGCTCTTACTGCTTGAAAAGAATGATAATAGTGACATATTGGATTTTCCTGTAATTGTCATTAGCTTTATTGATATTAGACATATCCCTCACAATGTGCATATTACATGCAGTTACAACATGTCTGTGAAATAGTTAACCTTGTTGGCTTAAGATCTATATAACTTTTTCCTTTACTCATTTTTTAAAAGATGTGCCACTGCAAGATAATATATAAATGGAATCTTATAGTATTTTTAGGAACCTGTAAGTTTCATGATTGCTGTCTATAAGATACAAAAGAAAGTTAAAGTTCTCCATGCTGAAATGCTATGAGAATAAAGCATCCATAAACATGATTAATGATGATATTTCTGATAATATTTTATAAGACTTGTCTGTCCAGGTCAGAAACTGAATATCTAAAACTGTAAATTTCAGTCTCTAATCAGCTCTGATAGGAGGAATTTATAGTAAAATAAGTCTCCTTAAATTTGCACCTTTACATTAAATTTAACAATAATAACTTTGGTGGGAAAATTTGTATATTTTCTAATAAATTAACAGAAAAAAATAATAAACAAAACTCTCACATAAGTTACCACCAATTTCTCTCACCATTGTCCCATTTCATAAGCTGAATCTTTTGGAACATTAATTCTAAGAAGATGATGATAGCTGGTTCACACAGAGAGATGATAGCTAGTTAAGATACTGAGATGTTCACTGGGTCACTCTGAATTGTAGTCGACTCGATGACATTAACAACCACCACCACAGCAACACATGCAGAAAAGTAATACCTAAGTAAACGATGGCTATTGTTTGTTGTTGTTTTGTACCATTAATTTAAAACTGACTTAAGCTTACCCTCCAGTAAGTCATGAGACAATAAATCACAAGAAATGAGATTACCTATTTTTCCTTTTTAGAGCAGCTTGTGGATTCGTTCAGTGTGCCTTTGGCTTGGCAGTGAAGCTCCTTAACACTAGACCACCAGAGCTTTCTTAATTGCTTATGGAATATTTTTAAATATTTGATACAATTCATGTCACTCATGTACATGTGAAAATGTTGAATTGGCAAACACTGTATCACTGATGTTTTTCAGCAAAATAAAATACAGATACCTGCATAAAATGAAGGGGGGGATAAGCCATAAATATTATATTAACAAGAAAAAATAATATAAAACTGAAAAAGTGAAAGGGTATCTGTAATATTTATTTATTCTTGAAATTCATATTTACAGAGAATGTTCTGGTTACATATAAAACTTGAATTCCCTATAATCTCCTTGGCAAGAAGTATTCAGAATCTGTTTGCTCATGTTGCTTTAGTTATGCTGAGTTGAAATGTGAGTTTAGTTGTAACTCTTAAGCTATATAAAATCATTTCTTGTGGAAATCACTAAGACAGCTATTTGAATGAAGACATGATATTCACTTTAAGACACCCTTGCTAAAATTCTTTCCTGATCACTGTAGGAGCTGCTTTCCATATCATTTTATTCTTTTCATGCTCTTTTGAACATATTTCAACCAATTTCCACACACATATCAATTCATATTGGTTGTAATGTTACATAAAAAGCCTGACCCAATTTATGATATTTCCACTTGCTTCATATTAATGAAGAATTTGGACAATGAATAAGGAAGCCTAAAGAAGAATAGATGTTTTTGTACTGTGGTGTTTGCAAAGAATACTGCATAAACCATAGACTACCAAAAGAACAACAAATCAAGAATTGCAGCCAGAGTGCTCCTTAAAAGCAAGAGTAGCGAGATTTCATTTCACATACTTTGAGATTATTGTCAGGAAGAGCCAGTCCTTGGAAAATTTCATAATGCTTAGAAAAGTAGAGGTTCAGCAAAGGAAGGAAAGATCTTAACACTCCATTGGGTTTGCAGAGGTAGTTAATCGCACAGGCGAAGATGGTCCATCCTTCTCCCACATAGCAGCTGGTGACCTCGAATTGCATTCCTTCAAGATTACAGTGCAGATTCTTGTCATTAGGCCACCAGAGCTCCCTAATTTTTAACAGAATAAACTATTATTACTTTATGCAAAATATATCATTATATAACTGATATAGGTGCATATACACAGATAAAATTATATGCAATACTGTTTAATCCCTTTCTATTTAATTATTGTTCTTGTGAACTATTGGGCTGGAACTGACCCACAGCTGACTCTCTGATGGGTTTTCAGAGGCACTTACTTGCAAGGGAGGAGATTGCTCATCCTTCTCCCAAAGAGCAGCAGCCGGTGGGCTTGAACTGCAGTGCTTTCTGAATTGCAGCACAGCTTCTTAGTACCAGAGCTTCATAGGTGATCTAGAAGATAGTGATTTGCATTGCTGTTTTTAGTAATTAGAGCATGTTGCTTTTGTTATTATTATGTGCCATCAATTCAGAACTGACTCATAGCTAAGTCTCCAGTGGGTTTTCAAAGTCTATAAATTGTACAAGAGTAGGTTCCCATTTTTACTCTCACTGAGGGACTGGTGAATTTGAACCTCATACCTTTGAGCTGACAGTGCAACTCATTATCACTAAGGCATCAGAGCATAATATTCTGAATTTATCCTTGCTGCATTGTCAACTTCAATCCCTTCTGTCGAGTTGGTTCTTATTCATAGTGACCCTCAAACCGATTCCTGAACCTGTAAATATCAATGAGAGGGTACTTTTCCTTTTTCTCTTATTGATCCACCAGTGAATTTTAATCTACAGAGACCTAGTACCTTTTCTTAGATTCTACATATTTGGGTAATTTTCCCATTCACCTCTAATTTGTGTTTTAAGAGATAAATCTTGGTGATTTTTAACAAGAATATTATCCATAATTTTAACAGTAAAACGTGTGTGTGTGTGTGTGTGTGTGTGTGTGTGTGTGTGTGTGTAAGAAAGAGAAAGAGAGAGACAGAGATAGAGATAGAGATTTTATATTAACTTTCCTCCCATAATGGTTAAGTTATATATGTCCTTAAAGAAAAGATTAGCATAAATTATCCTATATTCTGATAAGTTTTAATAGAGTTAAATAATAAAAAGGAAAAAAGACCATTTCTACCCTTAATAAGAGAGAAAAAAAAATCTAGAGTTAGAAGGAGCAGCAAGTTATGTAGCCTTTAGTCAAGCCATTACACTTTTAAACTAATGTACTGGATGTACTTTTAATTTCTACAATCATGTGGTTTCTATTCTATTTTAGAGTTTATAAGTAATGAAGCCTCCTGTGAGAACATCCCATTCAAAATTGGGACAGAAAAAAATCCTTTAAAATACTATTAATTGGATTACAGCCATTACTTTCCTAGGGGCCTAACAAATAAAGAAAATTCAAGAATAGGAAAATCACTATGACACTGAGAAATAAATGATTAGCTTTGGATTATGCAAATCAAGAAACAGGAGCCCATCCATTTAGAAGGATATGTATACTTTTCTCTAATACATTTAAGAATTTTGTTCCATATTTTATCCATTTTGCAGCTGTTTCTTCATGGTGTGTTTACTTTTTTTATAACCTTAGATAAATATGTGTTTGTTTAATAAATCATCTTTATCTGCCACATTGCTAAGGATTTACTGGCATTAGAATCATCATATGAGAAAAATATTGTCTGTCTTTACTTTCTTGAGCTACCAGTAACAAGACTGTGCATATGAAATGTCTTACAAAAAGCTGAGGGATAATATATTACAGAAAATTATGACACAGAAAGAGTAAACTTGACATCAGACACTAGGAACTATGTAATCTGTGGTGCAAAAATGATAGATCAATAAATGAGATGATTTACAGACTATAATTTATACCACATATACAAACACAGAGACAACCATAAATGCACACAGAAAAACAAACCAAAAATCTCCAACTTCTATGAAAAAGTACAGAATTGGCAACATGTATTTGAGTAATCTCAATATATGTTTCAGTTGATCAGTCCAGAAAA